ATTTATTTATCTAAATTTTCACTTGTATTATCCAAAATATTTTGGTTTATAACCTTTTAACTTAATTATATTGATTAATTCATCTAAATTTTCACTTCCATTATCCAAAATATTTTGGTTTATAACCTTTTAACTTAATTATATTGATTGATTCATCTAAATTTTCACTTGTATTAACCAAAATATTTTGGTTTATAACCTTTTAACTTAATTATATTGATTGATTCATCTAAATTTTCACTTCCATTATTTTTTTTTTTTTCCTTTTTAATATTTTATGCAGCAATCACAGGTACAAATAAAAGTACACTGACAGTGATTGTAAACGATTATATTGATTGATTTTTTTTATCCAAAATATTTTGGTTTATAACCTTTTAACTTAATTATATTGATTGATTCATCTAAATTTTCACTTGTATTATCCAAAATATTTTGGTTTATAACCTTTTAACTTAATTATATTGATTGATTCATCTAAATTTTCACTTCCACTATCCAAAATATTTTGGTTTATAACCTTTTAACTTAATTATATTGATTGATTCATCTAAATTTTCACTTCCACTATCCAAAATATTTTGGTTTATAACCTTTTAACTTAATTATATTGATTGATTCATCTAAATTTTCACTTCCATTATCCAAAATATTTTGGTTTATAACCTTTTAAAAAAAAAGAAAAATACTCAAACCAAAACGGATGTCGATTGCGACCATGAATATGCTCTACAAAAGCCTGGGAGGAAATACTCGTTGGCGGATCAAGAAGTTGTACGCAGAAAATTTGCTCTGGCTTCAAAATTGTCCGAAGAAAAAAGAAAAGAAAAAACACTTGAATTTGAATGTGGAATACTCTTCTTGGAAATATGGCTCAGCACTATTAAAAACTGGAAAAATTCTAACGACTTTCAATTATCCTTGCAGAAAAGATTTAGAGAAATTGAATTACCTCCAATCTATTTGGTGGACAGGGAAATAATTGTTGCCGCTGATAATTCATTGGATTCAATCAACACTTGGTCTACAGACAGGAAATTAATTCACCACGCGCCATTTGATGGAACAAAACCTTTGCAATATATTTGCTTCGTTGGAGTAAAGGTGAAGGAATTACTAATAATCACTAATGCAGATGAAATATCACGAGCAATTGACAGAACCTTGGAATTCTTCTCAGATATGGAATTAAACATCCGGCCTACTCTTATTCTTGCCGAATCAAGCAACAAAAATAAACAAAGAAAAATGGCAACACACTTCCATAATTTGGCTGAAACTTAAGGCACTGGATTTTACAAATGGAACGTAAGTGCAAAAGAATTAAAGAAGATTAAAAAAACATAGGAAACTAAAACTAACAGCAAAGGAAAGATAAAAATTGTTCACAAACCAAATTCCGATCCTTTGCGAAATATAACTTGTGAGCTTTATCGGAAAGGAAAATCTCCACCCTCTCGAAAATCTGAAAAAGCTAGTGAGAAGCTTAGACGCTTCCAACACGCACATATGGAACATATTACAATGCCTTAAAATGCACAAGTATTTGCACAAGTATTATGCACAAGTGTGGCAACTTTTACACAACCAATCGGCAATTCACTTTTAATCCCAATTCAAAAAAAATGAATTTTTTACTGCAACGCAATACATGGGATTTAATGACAACAGAACGCCAAAAAAATTCATGTAACGGCATCATCTCGCCTAAAGAAAAAATTCAAAGAAAAAAACCTTTATAACCTTTTAACTTAATTATATTGATTTATTTATCTAAATTTTCACTTGTATTATCCAAAATATTTTGGTTTATAACCTTTTAACTTAATTATATTGATTAATTCATCTAAATTTTCACTTCCATTATCCAAAATATTTTGGTTTATAACCTTTTAACTTAATTATATTGATTGATTCATCTAAATTTTCACTTGTATTAACCAAAATATTTTGGTTTATAACCTTTTAACTTAATTATATTGATTGATTCATCTAAATTTTCACTTCCATTATTTTTTTTTTTTTTCCTTTTTAATATTTTATGCAGCAATCACAGGTACAAATAAAAGTACACTGACAGTGATTGTAAACGATTATATTGATTGATTTTTTTTATCCAAAATATTTTGGTTTATAACCTTTTAACTTAATTATATTGATTGATTCATCTAAATTTTCACTTGTATTATCCAAAATATTTTGGTTTATAACCTTTTAACTTAATTATATTGATTGATTCATCTAAATTTTCACTTCCATTATCCAAAATATTTTGGTTTATAACCTTTTAACTTAATTATATTGATTGATTCATCTAAATTTTCACTTCCATTATCCAAAATATTTTGGTTTATAACCTTTTAACTTAATTATATTGATTGATTCATCTAAATTTTCACTTGTATTATCCAAAATATTTTGGTTTATAACCTTTTAACTTAATTATATTGATTGATTCATCTAAATTTTCACTTCCATTATCAAAATATTTTGGTTTATAACCTTTTAACTTAATTATATTGATTGATTCATCTAAATTTTCACTTGTATTATCCAAAATATTTTGGTTTATAACCTTTTAACTTAATTATATTGATTGATTCATCTAAATTTTCACTTCCATTATCCAAAATATTTTGGTTTATAACCTTTTAACTTAATTATATTGATTGATTCATCTAAATTTTCACTTGTATTATCCAAAATATTTTGGTTTATAACCTTTTAACTTAATTATATTGATTGATTCATCTAAATTTTCACTTCCACTATCCAAAATATTTTGGTTTATAACCTTTTAACTTAATTATATTGATTGATTCATCTAAATTTTCACTTCCATTATCCAAAATATTTTGGTTTATAACCTTTTAAAAAAAAGAAAAATACTCAAACCAAAACGGATGTCGATTGCGACCATGAATATGCTCTACAAAAGCCTGGGAGGAAATACTCGTTGGCGGATCAAGAAGTTGTACGCAGAAAATTTGCTCTGGCTTCAAAATTGTCCGAAGAAAAAAGAAAAGAAAAAACACTTGAATTTGAATGTGGAATACTCTTCTTGGAAATATGGCTCAGCACTATTAAAAACTGGAAAAATTCTAACGACTTTCAATTATCCTTGCAGAAAAGATTTAGAGAAATTGAATTACCTCCAATCTATTTGGTGGACAGGGAAATAATTGTTGCCGCTGATAATTCATTGGATTCAATCAACACTTGGTCTACAGACAGGAAATTAATTCACCACGCGCCATTTGATGGAACAAAACCTTTGCAATATATTTGCTTCGTTGGAGTAAAGGTGAAGGAATTACTAATAATCACTAATGCAGATGAAATATCACGAGCAATTGACAGAACCTTGGAATTCTTCTCAGATATGGAATTAAACATCCGGCCTACTCTTATTCTTGCCGAATCAAGCAACAAAAATAAACAAAGAAAAATGGCAACACACTTCCATAATTTGGCTGAAACTTAAGGCACTGGATTTTACAAATGGAACGTAAGTGCAAAAGAATTAAAGAAGATTAAAAAACATAGGAAACTAAAACTAACAGCAAAGGAAAGATAAAAATTGTTCACAAACCAAATTCCGATCCTTTGCGAAATATAACTTGTGAGCTTTATCGGAAAGGAAAATCTCCACCCTCTCGAAAATCTGAAAAAGCTAGTGAGAAGCTTAGACGCTTCCAACACGCACATATGGAACATATTACAATGCCTTAAAATGCACAAGTATTTGCACAAGTATTATGCACAAGTGTGGCAACTTTTACACAACCAATCGGCAATTCACTTTTAATCCCAATTCAAAAAAAATGAATTTTTTACTGCAACGCAATACATGGGATTTAATGACAACAGAACGCCAAAAAATTCATGTAACGGCATCATCTCGCCTAAAGAAAAAATTCAAAGAAAAAAACCTTTATAACCTTTTAACTTAATTATATTGATTTATTTATCTAAATTTTCACTTGTATTATCCAAAATATTTTGGTTTATAACCTTTTAACTTAATTATATTGATTAATTCATCTAAATTTTCACTTCCATTATCCAAAATATTTTGGTTTATAACCTTTTAACTTAATTATATTGATTGATTCATCTAAATTTTCACTTGTATTATCCAAAATATTTTGGTTTATAACCTTTTAACTTAATTATATTGATTGATGCATCTAAATTTTCACTTCCATTATCCAAAATATTTTGGTTTATAACCTTTTAACTTAATTATATTGATTGATTCATCTAAATTTTCACTTCCATTATCCAAAATATTTTGGTTTATAACCTTTTAACTTAATTATATTGATTGATTCATCTAAATTTTCACTTGTATTATCCAAAATATTTTGGTTTATAACCTTTTAACTTAATTATATTGATTGATTCATCTAAATTTTCACTTCCATTATCAAAATATTTTGGTTTATAACCTTTTAACTTAATTATATTGATTGATTCATCTAAATTTTCACTTGTATTATCCAAAATATTTTGGTTTATAACCTTTTAACTTAATTATATTGATTGATTCATCTAAATTTTCACTTCCATTATCCAAAATATTTTGGTTTATAACCTTTTAACTTAATTATATTGATTGATTCATCTAAATTTTCACTTGTATTATCCAAAATATTTTGGTTTATAACCTTTTAACTTAATTATATTGATTGCTTACCAAAATACAGAATAAACGTGGCGCGACTATTTCTACACTGTTGAGTGGATTACTTAGGCCCAATGAATGTGAAAGGAATGAAAACATCGACGGAAAAGGTTTATGGCGCACTCTTTACTTGCTTAGCTATTAGAGCAATCCACTAGGAATTGGCTACAGATGCTTCAGCAGAAACTTTCCTTCAAGCACATCGTCGTTTCATTGCAAGACGTGGCACACCTTCAATAATGGTCTCAGACAACGCTACAAACTTCACTCTTGGCTCAAAAATAATTGAGAAGATAGTTTGGGACTTATACTCTTACAAGGAACTGCAAGACTTCATCAAATTCAGAGGCAAAGAGTGGAAATTCATCACACCACGCAACCCATGAGAAGGAGGAGCCTGGGAAAGATTGGTTGGCGTGCCCAAAACAGCAAACAAAAGATGCAGTGGCAAAAAACTTCTGACTACAACTGAATTAACTACACGCTTTTGCGATAATGAAGCAATAGTAAACTCTCGACCACTTACAATTATGTCCGACAAAGAACCTTTGCATTCTCTTCGACTAATCGACTTCATTTGTCCATACTCTCCAATAGAAATAAATTTACCACAGACAGAAAGTGATAAAGATGAAGAATATACGCCATCCACAACAACAAAAAATGAATTGACCAAACAGTTAAAAAAACGTTCAATTGCATCTAAACAATTTCTGGAAATTCTGGAAATCCAACTATTTGTTTTCTCTTCGCGAAAAAATGCCTAAAGGATAAGGGGAAGCAAATATCGTACCTAAATAGGGAGACATTGTTCTCGTCGAAGATGAGAATCTGATTCCTCTCTATGGAAATCAGCTAAGATCGTGGAACTAATTCGGGGAAGGGACAATTTAATTAGGACAGCTAAAATTTTAATAAATGGAAACATTTTAAAAAGTATTAATAAACTTTTGCGTTTAGAAGTTCAACCCAAAGTGGGGTTAAGTTAAAAGGTTATAAACCAAAATATTTTGGATAATACAAGTGAAAATTTAGATGAATCAATCAATATAATTAAGTTAAAAGGTTATAAACCAAAATATTTTGATAATGGAAGTGAAAATTTAGATGAATCAATCAATATAATTAAGTTAAAAGGTTATAAACCAAAATATTTTGGATAATACAAGTGAAAATTTAGATGAATCAATCAATATAATTAAGTTAAAAGGTTATAAACCAAAATATTTTGGATAATGGAAGTGAAAATTTAGATGAATCAATCAATATAATTAAGTTAAAAGGTTATAAACCAAAATATTTTGGATAATGGAAGTGAAAATTTAGATGCATCAATCAATATAATTAAGTTAAAAGGTTATAAACCAAAATATTTTGGATAATACAAGTGAAAATTTAGATGAATCAATCAATATAATTAAGTTAAAAGGTTATAAACCAAAATATTTTGGATAATGGAAGTGAAAATTTAGATGAATTAATCAATATAATTAAGTTAAAAGGTTATAAACCAAAATATTTTGGATAATACAAGTGAAAATTTAGATAAATAAATCAATATAATTAAGTTAAAAGGTTATAAAGGTTTTTTTCTTTGAATTTTTTCTTTAGGCGAGATGATGCCGTTACATGAATTTTTTGGCGTTCTGTTGTCATTAAATCCCATGTATTGCGTTGCAGTAAAAAATTCATTTTTTTTGAATTGGGATTAAAAGTGAATTGCCGATTGGTTGTGTAAAAGTTGCCACACTTGTGCATAATACTTGTGCAAATACTTGTGCATTTTAAGGCATTGTAATATGTTCCATATGTGCGTGTTGGAAGCGTCTAAGCTTCTCACTAGCTTTTTCAGATTTTCGAGAGGGTGGAGATTTTCCTTTCCGATAAAGCTCACAAGTTATATTTCGCAAAGGATCGGAATTTGGTTTGTGAACAATTTTTATCTTTCCTTTGCTGTTAGTTTTAGTTTCCTATGTTTTTTTAATCTTCTTTAATTCTTTTGCACTTACGTTCCATTTGTAAAATCCAGTGCCTTAAGTTTCAGCCAAATTATGGAAGTGTGTTGCCATTTTTCTTTGTTTATTTTTGTTGCTTGATTCGGCAAGAATAAGAGTAGGCCGGATGTTTAATTCCATATCTGAGAAGAATTCCAAGGTTCTGTCAATTGCTCGTGATATTTCATCTGCATTAGTGATTATTAGTAATTCCTTCACCTTTACTCCAACGAAGCAAATATATTGCAAAGGTTTTGTTCCATCAAATGGCGCGTGGTGAATTAATTTCCTGTCTGTAGACCAAGTGTTGATTGAATCCAATGAATTATCAGCGGCAACAATTATTTCCCTGTCCACCAAATAGATTGGAGGTAATTCAATTTCTCTAAATCTTTTCTGCAAGGATAATTGAAAGTCGTTAGAATTTTTCCAGTTTTTAATAGTGCTGAGCCATATTTCCAAGAAGAGTATTCCACATTCAAATTCAAGTGTTTTTTCTTTTCTTTTTTCTTCGGACAATTTTGAAGCCAGAGCAAATTTTCTGCGTACAACTTCTTGATCCGCCAACGAGTATTTCCTCCCAGGCTTTTGTAGAGCATATTCATGGTCGCAATCGACATCCGTTTTGGTTTGAGTATTTTTCTTTTTTTTAAAAGGTTATAAACCAAAATATTTTGGATAATGGAAGTGAAAATTTAGATGAATCAATCAATATAATTAAGTTAAAAGGTTATAAACCAAAATATTTTGGATAGTGGAAGTGAAAATTTAGATGAATCAATCAATATAATTAAGTTAAAAGGTTATAAACCAAAATATTTTGGATAATACAAGTGAAAATTTAGATGAATCAATCAATATAATTAAGTTAAAAGGTTATAAACCAAAATATTTTGGATAATGGAAGTGAAAATTTAGATGAATCAATCAATATAATTAAGTTAAAAGGTTATAAACCAAAATATTTTGGATAATACAAGTGAAAATTTAGATGAATCAATCAATATAATTAAGTTAAAAGGTTATAAACCAAAATATTTTGATAATGGAAGTGAAAATTTAGATGAATCAATCAATATAATTAAGTTAAAAGGTTATAAACCAAAATATTTTGGATAATACAAGTGAAAATTTAGATGAATCAATCAATATAATTAAGTTAAAAGGTTATAAACCAAAATATTTTGGATAATGGAAGTGAAAATTTAGATGAATCAATCAATATAATTAAGTTAAAAGGTTATAAACCAAAATATTTTGGATAATGGAAGTGAAAATTTAGATGAATCAATCAATATAATTAAGTTAAAAGGTTATAAACCAAAATATTTTGGATAATACAAGTGAAAATTTAGATGAATCAATCAATATAATTAAGTTAAAAGGTTATAAACCAAAATATTTTGGATAAAAAAAATCAATCAATATAATCGTTTACAATCACTGTCAGTGTACTTTTATTTGTACCTGTGATTGCTGCATAAAATATTAAAAAGGAAAAAAAAAAAAATAATGGAAGTGAAAATTTAGATGAATCAATCAATATAATTAAGTTAAAAGGTTATAAACCAAAATATTTTGGTTAATACAAGTGAAAATTTAGATGAATCAATCAATATAATTAAGTTAAAAGGTTATAAACCAAAATATTTTGGATAATGGAAGTGAAAATTTAGATGAATTAATCAATATAATTAAGTTAAAAGGTTATAAACCAAAATATTTTGGATAATACAAGTGAAAATTTAGATAAATAAATCAATATAATTAAGTTAAAAGGTTATAAAGGTTTTTTTCTTTGAATTTTTTCTTTAGGCGAGATGATGCCGTTACATGAATTTTTTTGGCGTTCTGTTGTCATTAAATCCCATGTATTGCGTTGCAGTAAAAAATTCATTTTTTTTGAATTGGGATTAAAAGTGAATTGCCGATTGGTTGTGTAAAAGTTGCCACACTTGTGCATAATACTTGTGCAAATACTTGTGCATTTTAAGGCATTGTAATATGTTCCATATGTGCGTGTTGGAAGCGTCTAAGCTTCTCACTAGCTTTTTCAGATTTTCGAGAGGGTGGAGATTTTCCTTTCCGATAAAGCTCACAAGTTATATTTCGCAAAGGATCGGAATTTGGTTTGTGAACAATTTTTATCTTTCCTTTGCTGTTAGTTTTAGTTTCCTATGTTTTTTTAATCTTCTTTAATTCTTTTGCACTTACGTTCCATTTGTAAAATCCAGTGCCTTAAGTTTCAGCCAAATTATGGAAGTGTGTTGCCATTTTTCTTTGTTTATTTTTGTTGCTTGATTCGGCAAGAATAAGAGTAGGCCGGATGTTTAATTCCATATCTGAGAAGAATTCCAAGGTTCTGTCAATTGCTCGTGATATTTCATCTGCATTAGTGATTATTAGTAATTCCTTCACCTTTACTCCAACGAAGCAAATATATTGCAAAGGTTTTGTTCCATCAAATGGCGCGTGGTGAATTAATTTCCTGTCTGTAGACCAAGTGTTGATTGAATCCAATGAATTATCAGCGGCAACAATTATTTCCCTGTCCACCAAATAGATTGGAGGTAATTCAATTTCTCTAAATCTTTTCTGCAAGGATAATTGAAAGTCGTTAGAATTTTTCCAGTTTTTAATAGTGCTGAGCCATATTTCCAAGAAGAGTATTCCACATTCAAATTCAAGTGTTTTTTCTTTTCTTTTTTCTTCGGACAATTTTGAAGCCAGAGCAAATTTTCTGCGTAAAGATCGAGTCGGCATAGAATTTTGGCCCGTAAAAGACTCGGTCGGGCCGGCTCGATAAAAATGAAGCACGAAAAATGACTCGAACGCCGGCCCGACTCGAAAACCCCAACTCTACTATTCATCATGATTCTCATTTTCTGTTGTTTGTATATTGCTTGGTCATTTAATGTTGTGATCTGTTTGGTTTTAGTTTTTTCACAGTCTGTCAGATATCCGAATGAATTTTTTATAATATTTCTCGCCTCTAAACAGAAAAAAAGATACAGGACTAAACTACAGGGCTAATTTTATCGTATAAACGTACAGCAGTATTGAAGGGAGGTAAACATAATACAAGTTGAGATAGAATTTTCAGCTAGAAGATTTTTATTTATACAAAAATTTCAGCAAAATGCCATTGAAGTTTTCTAATTTTTTTTATTTATTTTTTCTCGTTCTTCGACTTTTTGTATTTTATATTAAGAAAATTCAAATTTTCATAATTTAAGGTTAACACATAAAATCAGAAATAATATTTTCAATAGAATTTTCTTCTTTAAAATCTCCTTACTTTTTCTCCGTTCTTCTTTAAAATATCCAAATGTACACTACAAAAAAATCTTTCTATATCTAAAATGCTCCTCGATCCAAAACTTAAAACTTGTCAACAGAATATAGGAAATGAACGAAAATTTTTTTTGAATTTTAGAAGAGAATTTTCTATATAAAAAAGGAAAGGAGAACCAATTTTAACAAAAAATAGAAACTCAATGTTCTTGTATTTTTTATTAAACATATTTACATATACTATTTATTTAAAAATTATAATAACAACAAAATATTTTGAAATAAATATTTTTGATTGGTATTATTAAACTATTATTCTTAAAGTATTCTTAAACTATTAAATTAAAAAAATTTAAATAAACTCAAATTTAATATTGGAGAAATTAATTAATCCTTATACATAAATACCCATGGGAAAGTATGCTCTAAAAATTATTACAATATTTACAATTAATCAAAACATAAATACTAATTAAAAATTACTTCTAATATGTACTTGATGCTGCTAATGGAAATACACGAAAATAATATTGTTTACTGCTATTTAGCAGCAAGGAATTTTTTAATGACTATAACATTAGAAATTAAAATTGCCGATTTTGGCATTTCTCAAAAATTACCTAATGGAAAAGATAAAGTAAATATAGAAAAAGGCAAAGTTTTAAACGAATGGAATGGGAGTTAATCCATTTAAAACTTGGAAAATTATTGGAAAGTAGTGGCATTTGGTTTAGTGAGGAAGGCTCGATTAAAATGTGATTTAGACGTGGTTGTCAAACAATCTTTCAATGATAATATGGAAAATATCAGCGAAACAAAAATTTTGAGAAATCTACATCACGAAAATATTGTTCAATTATTAGGTATTTTTAACCTTAAATAAGACTTTAAAAATTAAAATTGGGAACGATAAAATAACTTTCAAAGACCTTACTGATAGAGAAGTTATCAAAAAAGTTAATTTTTTGCTTCTGATGATTTTAAATTAATTTTTCTTCTACATGGAATGGAAAATACTTAGGCTGAGACATAAATATTGAACCCCCTTGAGTTAAGCGCATTAAATAATTATTAAAATTCAACAAAATGTTTTCGAAATGTAATTTATTTTTCTTTATATTCCCAAGAGAGTTGCCTATTTTTGGGCGTCATAGGATTAAGTTGGCAGGATTTAGAGGTATAATACAAAAATTTGTATTTTTGAAACTTGGCAACTTCTAAGTAATTTTCACTTCTTAATTAATGTGTAAACGAAAATTGAAATAGATTCTGATAGAGAAAATCTGTAGAATAAGGTTATATAGAAAATTCCCAACGAAAATTTTTTTTTAAATTTTTATCAGCCCGTTCTTAAGGCTCAATTTTGGCACTGATGCCAAACTCGATTTTCGTTAATAATGGCAATAAAAACTTGTTCTACTAATTTTTATATTTCATTAATTAGTTTTAACAAATTTATTAATTTAGAATCAAAATTGTACTAAAAAATTATTTTGAAATTTCGACTTTGGTCTTCCAAATTTGTTGACGTCGTTGTTTCCACATGCCCAAAGCTTGCCACTAAAAAGATTTTGCGGGAAGCACGATTTTTATAGGTCTATACTTGCCTTTTTGTGCTAGGATTTTGTTATAACACATCTTATAAAAAGTTATAGGAAGGGCCTCAATGTTTAGCTCATCAAGAAGCTTGCTAACTTCCGCTTGATCCTTGGTCACACGTTGCTATGGTTAGACCATAGCAACGTGTGACCAAGGATCAAGCGGAAGTTAGCAAGCTTCTTGATGAGCTAAACATTGAGGCCCTTCCTATAACTTTTTATAAGATGTGTTATAACAAAATCCTAGCACAAAAAGGCAAGTATAGACCTATAAAAATCGTGCTTCCCGCAAAATCTTTTTAGTGGCAAGCTTTGGGCATGTGGAAACAACGACGTCAACAAATTTGGAAGACCAAAGTCGAAATTTCAAAATAATTTTTTAGTACAATTTTGATTCTAAATTAATAAATTTGTTAAAACTAATTAATGAAATATAAAAATTAGTAGAACAAGTTTTTATTGCCATTATTAACGAAAATCGAGTTTGGCATCAGTGCCAAAATTGAGCCTTAAGAACGGGCTGATAAAAATTTAAAAAAAAATTTTCGTTGGGAATTTTCTATATAACCTTATTCTACAGATTTTCTCTATCAGAATCTATTTCAATTTTCGTTTACACATTAATTAAGAAGTGAAAATTACTTAGAAGTTGCCAAGTTTCAAAAATACAAATTTTTGTATTATACCTCTAAATCCTGCCAACTTAATCCTATGACGCCCAAAAATAGGCAACTCTCTTGGGAATATAAAGAAAAATAAATTACATTTCGAAAACATTTTGTTGAATTTTAATAATTATTTAATGCGCTTAACTCAAGGGGGTTCAATATTTATGTCTCAGCCTAAGTATTTTCCATTCCATGTAGAAGAAAAATTAATTTAAAATCATCAGAAGCAAAAAATTAACTTTTTTGATAACTTCTCTATCAGTAAGGTCTTTGAAAGTTATTTTATCGTTCCCAATTTTAATTTTTAAAGTCTTATTTAAGGTTAAAAATACCTAATAATTGAACAATATTTTCGTGATGTAGATTTCTCAAAATTTTTGTTTCGCTGATATTTTCCATATTATCATTGAAAGATTGTTTGACAACCACGTCTAAATCACATTTTAATCGAGCCTTCCTCACTAAACCAAATGCCACTACTTTCCAATAATTTTCCAAGTTTTAAATGGATTAACTCCCATTCCATTCGTTTAAAACTTTGCCTTTTTCTATATTTACTTTATCTTTTCCATTAGGTAATTTTTGAGAAATGCCAAAATCGGCAATTTTAATTTCTAATGTTATAGTCATTAAAAAATTCCTTGCTGCTAAATAGCAGTAAACAATATTATTTTCGTGTATTTCCATTAGCAGCATCAAGTACATATTAGAAGTAATTTTTAATTAGTATTTATGTTTTGATTAATTGTAAATATTGTAATAATTTTTAGAGCATACTTTCCCATGGGTATTTATGTATAAGGATTAATTAATTTCTCCAATATTAAATTTGAGTTTATTTAAATTTTTTTAATTTAATAGTTTAAGAATACTTTAAGAATAATAGTTTAATAATACCAATCAAAAATATTTATTTCAAAATATTTTGTTGTTATTATAATTTTTAAATAAATAGTATATGTAAATATGTTTAATAAAAAATACAAGAACATTGAGTTTCTATTTTTTGTTAAAATTGGTTCTCCTTTCCTTTTTTATATAGAAAATTCTCTTCTAAAATTCAAAAAAAATTTTCGTTCATTTCCTATATTCTGTTGACAAGTTTTAAGTTTTGGATCGAGGAGCATTTTAGATATAGAAAGATTTTTTTGTAGTGTACATTTGGATATTTTAAAGAAGAACGGAGAAAAAGTAAGGAGATTTTAAAGAAGAAAATTCTATTGAAAATATTATTTCTGATTTTATGTGTTAACCTTAAATTATGAAAATTTGAATTTTCTTAATATAAAATACAAAAAGTCGAAGAACGAGAAAAAATAAATAAAAAAAATTAGAAAACTTCAATGGCATTTTGCTGAAATTTTTGTATAAATAAAAATCTTCTAGCTGAAAATTCTATCTCAACTTGTATTATGTTTACCTCCCTTCAATACTGCTGTACGTTTATACGATAAAATTAGCCCTGTAGTTTAGTCCTGTATCTTTTTTTCTGTTTAGAGGCGAGAAATATTATAAAAAATTCATTCGGATATCTGACAGACTGTGAAAAAACTAAAACCAAACAGATCACAACATTAAATGACCAAGCAATATACAAACAACAGAAAATGAGAATCATGATGAATAGTAGAGTTGGGGTTTTCGAGTCGGGCCGGCGTTCGAGTCATTTTTCGTGCTTCATTTTTATCGAGCCGGCCCGACCGAGTCTTTTACGGGCCAAAATTCTATGCCGACTCGATCTTTCGGACCGGGCCTCCAACCCTAATAAATAGTAATTATAAAATCTCCTTAACCTTCCCCTCATTTATTCTTTTATGTATTCTTTTCTACCAATGGTCAATGGCGTATAATGGCCAGGGATTTAAATTATTATTACTTATGTAAGTCGTGATTTTTATAGACTGGATTGTTTAGCATTTTTGTGCTTTGCGCCATAACGGTCGCGCCATAGTGAGCTTGCGCCGAAGCGTTCGTTTTCCTATTGAAATCCTCAAAATTCTTTTTTTCAAAGTTCTTTTTTACCAATTTTATTTAGGAAATTTAAAATGGGCGAACTTGAAAATCAGCCAATTACTAATTTGCCCGTAGAAGATGATCAACAAGAAAATCATTCGGAAATTCAACTTGATGGAGTTATTGAAGATAATCCAGAAGAGAATAGTTTAATTTCATCAACACCTTGCACTGTTCCCTCTTCCTCAGACGTTTCTGATGATCCAGCAGAAAAATCACCTGTCGAGATTACCAATAGTGTTGATTTGGAAGTTGTTGCCAATGACAGTTTGGACACTGTGGAAAACTCGTTAGCCGCTGAGGCAACTGATGAATTGGCAGACAATACATTTCTTGCCCCGATTTCTGGTTGTACTGATTCGGTTTCCTCACAACGATCAGAAGGTTTTTTTTATATTTTAGAGAAGTTTGATGAAAATCTTTGTTTCAGTTAATGGATCGTTATTTGTTAAGCAAAAGGTTTTGAAAGCGCCTAACAGACAGTTTTTGTCTTCTGATGTTACTCATGTTCCTATTCAACCATCAGATATTATAGAATATGAATGGCCTCAAAAATCGGGAGAACGTTTTTTTATCCAGGTTTGCTTGGAAGATTTCTCTTTCCTATCAAATTCCTTAATTAACAGGAACAAATATCTGAACTTCTTGGTATCAGTTCTTTCAAACGTAAATATCCAGGTACTTTTTTTACTCTTTATACACGTCTTCAGAAAAAGATTTTTGATAAAAACCGAGTAAAAGGATGTTTGGAAGAATTTAGCGAGTTGAATTGAAAGGTTTAGTTCTGGCAAAGATTTGACTATTTGTGTCAATTTTTGTCTTATGTGAGCACAATCAACTCGTCAAACTTTTTTAAATAATCGTTTACTGATTTTTAGTATAAAAATTTTTTGAAGAATGGCTTAAACACAACAGGGATCTGGCCGACATAAAAATTCAATTCACGGTTTTAGGGAACTGGTCGGCTAGATCCCTGATACAGGCAGTTTTTCTGTGTATCAGGGCTGCATGCAATTTCGGATTGTTTGGATTTTTTGATCTGTGGGTTTCTGCTACGGAATTTTTTTCTATTTGCGAGCAGTCCTTTTGTGTATACACAGAGTAAACAACTATTAAATATATTCAGAAATGCATCGCCGAACTATTGAGCCAGCAGAACGAGATATGCTTTTAAAAGAAAAGAAGGTTCAAATCGCGCTAACTGCTCATCATTTGACAGCACTCCATGCTGTGGATGTTTACGAATTAATGTCATCAGAATATCCCGAAATATATTCTTCTTACCAAAAAGCCTGTAATGAACGTGTTAGGCAGGCTATGCTTGAAAAACAAAAAGAATTTGAAGCTGTAAATTTTTTGAATTTTTAAGAAATCTTTAAAAAATATTTTTTTTTAGATTAAAACGGATGCAAAAAAATTGGCAGAATTGCGACAAAAGGCTATTCAAAGTTCTTTTACTTTCAATTCTGATTTACAGGCTGTTCGGAAGGCAGAAAGAACACAATATTGGGAACTAAACACAAATGTTTGTTTGAAAAAAATTTTTTATATGAGTGAATCACCAATAAGCCTCATTTGTGTACGGCCTTTAGGACTAAATTTTATCTATCACATACCCATCATTGACATTGTCTAACAAGGGCGTAGCCAAGGAGTCAATTTCAAGGGGCTAAAATGGGGTATGCGCCAAATTTGGCGTTGAGAATTTTGGGATTGTAGAAGTAAAAAATTCACTTTTCTGCTCATTTCTCTCCTAAAATTTTTTCATTTTCCCGATTTCAGGGGGCTATAGCCCCAGAAGCCCCTGGCTACGTCCTTGTTGTCTGAATTACATAATTAAGGCACTCATGTATTAAAATCGGCTTCAGTCTACAGTGTGTTAAGAAATTATAACCCCCTTGAATTTTTTGTGTTTCTCTATCTTCCCGTTGTTGGATTGTTCTGAATTTTTTGCAGTAGTTTTGTAATGTATAATAAATAATATTTACAAAATATCTTTAAAAATTTCTGATCTAAAACTTTTTTATGGACGTTTTTGCAAAAAATTAGCGTTAATAAATTATAACCCCCCTTTATTAAAATTTTTGTTTTACGGTCAAAAAATCCACAAAAATTTTTCTGAACATATCTACCAATATAGATGAGAAATACAAAAGAAATGAAGTTCTTATGTACTCCCATCATCGAGATCTCGAAATCCGAAAATCAACGTAAAACGGGGGTAAAGGTCTTTAAAAAATATTTTCGACACCTTACAGGTAAATAAAAATTTTATTTTGGGCTTATCTGAAAGCCCTTAAAATTTGCTACAAGATACTTTTCATCTCATAATCAAGAAAAAATTCATCATTGAAAAATAATGAGTTTATTTTATAAGTTACAATTTTGTCACTTTTTGGGGGCGTTGGAGTGATTTTTATGACTTGAAAGTTTATCACTTTGTTCTCGACGGTGAATTTTTTTGTATAATGAGATAAAAACTTTCTTATAGCGAATTTAAAGGGCTTTTAGAAAAGTATAAAATAAAAATTTAACTCACCCTATAAGAGGTCGAAAATATTTTTTAAAGACCTTTACCCCCGTTTTACGTTGATTTTCGGATTTCGAGATCTCGATGATGGGAGTACATAAGAACTTCATTTCTTTTGTATTTCTCATCTATATTGGTAGATATGTTCAGAAAAATTTTTGTGGATTTTTTGACCGTAAAACAAAAATTTTAATAAAGGGGGGTTATAATTTATTAACGCTAATTTTTTGCAAAAACGTCCATAAAAAAGTTTTAGATCATAAATTTTTAAAGATATTTTGTAAATATTATTTATTATACATTACAAAACTACTGCAAAAAATTCAGAACAATCCAACAACGGGAAGATAGAGAAACACAAAAAATTCAAGGGGGGTTATAATTTCTTAACACACTGTACCCTATATCGAACGAATATTTGTGATGACCCTTGACCGTTTTGTACCTTTCTTTTTTATAGTTTCCCTTTGAAAAAATATCGAACGAGACTATTACCGAATCACCTCGTTCAACACCTCGTAACTCCAAAATATATTTTTAATAAAATTTCTAGATAATTCATTCACCGCTGAATAAATGGATGCGCGTGGCAAAGGAATATACTAAACCATCAATTTATCCAGTTTATTTAGTTCCTGGACAATATACTGATTACTACAAAAAGTATTGATTTCTTTAAAAATATTTTCTAAAATAAATTTTTAAGGTTTACTTCAACAGAATTGCGTTCTTTACCTTTCAATACTGTTTTAAATACGAGACGATTATTTCCACCCAAACGGGATTTATCACCACCATCAATTAAATTAACGGAAGAAGAACTGTCTGGACCTAAAGAAACAACAGAATCAACAATTTTGGATCAAAAAGACGCCAAAGAAGATTTTAAAAATACAATAATGGCAAGAGAATGTGATTCTCCAAAAAGTTTGCAGAGGCCTTTGCCTCCAAAAATGCGTAAAATTGGAGGGGACAACGGATTTGCTTCTAAAAAGGTTTTCTTTTTTTATAAATTTTTTTTTATTTTTTCCATTTCCAGAATTCAACTTTCTCTTCTTTTCCTCGTCCTCTACAAATTACTTCAGCCTCTTCCTCATTTTCCTCGAATATTCCTATTGCTTCAGTCAAACTTTCAACACCCAATTGCTCAATCTGTCAGCTTCCAGATGCTGGGTTATTCCAAGGGAAATCTGCTATGGTTAGATGTTCATCCTGCCAACAACGAATGCATTCTTCTTGTATTGATATGCCTCAATCAATGGTGGATATGATTAGGCAATATGATTGGCTTTGTATAGATTGTAAACGATGCTATGTCTGTCAACAACCTGACCAGGAAGTAATTTAAAAAAAATCTTTTTTAATCCAATCAAGGGCGTAGCCAGGGGAGGTTCTGGGACTATTGCCCCCCCCCCCCCCGAAATGGGGAAAAGCAAAAAATTTTATTGCGTTTGGAACAGCAAAGTAGACACCCCATTTTAGCCTTATGAAATCGACCTCCTGGCTACGCCCTTGAATCCAATTAAATTTGAAAAATTATCCTTCTTTATTTTTGGGGGCCAGGGGAAATAAGCCAAAAATTGGCAATAGGTGATCAACCATGCTCTACACTATGGTATAAGCTTTATTTAAATATTTTTGGTCATAGCTCAATATTGTCCCTTGTTAGAATTTAAATTTTGATTTAAATTAAGACACAATCTTTATTTTAGGCTGCCATGATGTGTTGTGATTTGTGTGACCGTGGTTATCATACATTCTGTATTGGACTCGATCAACCGCCTAATGGTACTTGGCATTGTCCGAAATGCAAAGGTTTTGTTTAAATTGTTTAGGTTTAATAATTCTTTTTTTATTTTAAAGAATCTAACCATAACTCATCAACGACTATTGAAATTAAATCTGAAGTTAATTTGAGTCAAAAATGGAATTTTACAAATCAAATGGCTTCGGGCAGTGATCCACATGCAAATCAACCCAACGTCTCAACTCAAATAAAAATTGAAAAGAAGCCTAAAATTGAGCGGAAGAGAGGAAGACCGAGGAAGAAAGTATCCGAAGATGTTCCAGCAGGTGAATAAAATATCGATTAAATCCCATATTTTAGGCCCTTCCAAGGTAACTTTTGGGGAATTTTAATTAAATTTGTATTTGAAGACGTTAAAATTATTTTGATTTTTTTAAATTAAAATTCTCCAAGTATGCCTTGTGAAAAGGTTTTATTTGTCTAATTTACCTATAAAATTAAGAAAAAGTTTAAGAAACTCGGCAATCCAAATATTAATTATTTTGTAAATTATAAGAGAAATCCCTAAAAATGATTAAATTATTTTTGGAACACTTTTCATTATTGTAACAAAACGAATATAATTTTGGGGTTGTTCCTCGACGGGAATCATGGGGAATATTTTCGGAGCGCCATGATTGGAGGGGGGGGGGACGGGGAACAACCCTGGTATTTTTAGCGTATTTTTGGAAAAAATTTAAAATCAATTAAATATTTTGGATCGGTATATTTTTATATCATTAAACAAAAAATACCAATTTGTTTAATTTATTCAAGCAAATCGAAATTAAAAAATCGCTAAATTGTTTATTTCTAAATATTTTGTTTTTTACAATTTTAGTGAAAAAATGTTTAATAAAAGAAATACAAAAAACACTGAGTTTTTATTTTGAGTTAGTTAACAGAATATTTTTTGGGTAAAAATAAAGTTTGTTTCCCTCTCCCCTCTTTACCAAAGTTTGAAAATTTTGATCTTCGTCGCTTTAATTAGCTACGAATTAAAAAACTAAGGAAAATTGAATTTTGTTATTTTTCACACCTTGGTTGATATGGCAGTCAAATAAAAAAATCGAGAATGATTGGGAGAATACAAGGATAATACAAACTTTACTTTTACTAATTTTTTGTTTTTTTTTTAATTATTCAAAGTTTGAAATTAAATTTCCTGTTAAAAAGGCTTGGGAAGCATTTGAGAATGAGAAATAATTTTAAGGTATACAAAGTAAGGAAATATTTCATAAAAGTAAAATGTCAGAAAAGTGTATTTTTCGGACTGAAAATTGTTAGATTTTTTTGCCAATTTTTTAAGTGTTTGGCACGCCACGCGACTATTTTGGCAAACAACCCTGAGTTTCACATTTTTCAATTTAATTTTCAGTAGGGGCCTCACACAAGGTATTTTATTAAAAGGCATTGCTTTTTCCCAATTAATTATTAGAGTATTAAGAAAAAGTTTTTTTAACTAAAAGAACATTTATTTAAGTAGAAGACAAAATATTTTACATTTTAAATTGTGAGCAAAAAACAGGAGAAAATGAATTATTTGATTGAATAAAGAGGTAAAAAGATTAATGCATCATTGGAGGGTTGGTCAACACCGATCACTTTTTAAAATTTTCTAAATCGGTTTTAGTTTTTTACAAAATCGCTAAATTTTTCGGTTTCATAACCAGTGTCTTGACCAACCCCCTAAATTGTTGTATAAATGGAAAAAAATATATATGGGAGAGAGAGAGGCGTATTTTAATTTAACAACCTATTTAAGTCTACAAAATATTTTTTTACAATTTAAATTAATAAAATAGTTAATTGTAAGTTTCTGATATACCAAAAAAGTATTTTTAGTCTAAAAAATATCCTCGCTACAAAAAACTAATTTTATAATTTAATTAGTAGGTAAAATATAAAATTTAATAAAAAAAATTATTTCCAAAAAGCTGGCAGCAAATTGTATATCGAAAAACGTTTTTTTAAATCAAAAGATAAAGCGGTACAAAAAATAAAATAAACATGAATTATTCAAAATATTTCAGAAAGAAATTTTTCTGTAAAGAAACGAAAATTAAAAATTCAGAAATTTAGATATCTTATCTCCTTAAAATATACCAAAAAAGAATTTCTTTACAGAAGAAAAAAGTTTTTTTTATTTAAATTCATGAATCGTTTCGTTTTTTAAATTGCATAATTATAAATGGGAAGTTACATTTTTAAAAACATTTTTAAAATCTCGAAAAAAATTTTTTCTCGAAGAAAAAAATTTTTTTCTAGGATTTTCATTAAATAATAATTGCCTTCAAAAAATTATTTTTTTATTTTTTAAATTTATTTTCCCTCTTTTTAATTATTTTACCTCTCTCATTTCTTCCTCTTCAATTTTTATTTCTTCATTACTTTTTTATCATCAACATAAAAAGGTTGTAAAGGTGGTGGAGGTGGTGCTGTTATTGATAAACTTGTTGTTGTTGATGTTGTTGGTTGATTCTCTTTTGTTTTATTTATTTGTTTCATTTCTTCTTCTTCTTCCCTTTCATTTCTTCCTTTAAAATTCCCCCCTCTTTCTCCTCCTCCCAATAACATTGAAGACGAATTAATTGAAGAAGTAAATAAATTATTTAAACGACTTGTTGCTGTCAAATCAGGAACTCCCCAAATATTACTTTCTGCCATACTATCCAAAATTGGTTGAGTTTCTGTTATTATTCCTCCTTTATTACGAATAGAACCATAACCACGATTATTTTTATTATAACGAGAACGAGCATTTTGTTGTTGTTGAATTAATTCATTTGGATTTGTATTTATTGCAAGAATATGGTTAATTGCTAATGCATTAAGTGACATTTCTGTTGCTTTGTTTTCTAAAAGAAAAATTTAAAAAATAAACAAGAAATTCCAGTAATTTATAAAAATCGAATATGGAGTGATTCCCATCCCACAGAACCATGTTTTTATTTTTAAGGGGCTGAATAATTGTAAAATTAATTTTAAAATTTATATAAAAATTATCTAATAGGTGCAAAAAAGGGATGAATTATAAAAAATAAAAAAATCCAATTCACAAAAAAAGAAGAAACACATTAGAGCCCCAAAATATTGTTGTTGACTAGTTGTTGGAGCCCCAAAATAACTCAAGACCCTTATTTTTAAGGGACTAAAAAATAATTTAAATGAATTCATGTTGAATTTAAACCTTGTTCAGTCCGTGGTTGTACTGTTGCAGATAATGAAGCTGGGGCTATAAAACTAGAAGCAAGTAACATTTGATGTTGTTGTTGTAAATTTAATTGTGAATGGATTGATGTTGTTAACATTCCAGAAGAACTGTTACTTAAAATGTTGGCAAGGGATTGTTCTTGTAATTGACGTTGTCTTTCAATTTGTGAAGCTGAGGGAGGCCCTCCAACACCGGTAAATGTCTATAAATAAAATAAAATTATTTGAAATAAAAAATTTAAAGCTAAGGCAAAGTCCAAAAATGACGTGAAAGGGGAATAATAAAAAAATCGTGTAAGGGATGAAGAAATTCTTCCAAGTACCACACACCACAAGTTCAACGTAAAATTCTGTTTGAATCAAGGTATTAGTATTAAAAAATTAGAATATCTAATTCACTTGATACAAACTGTGAAACAGACAATTTTTGAAATTGTCAACACCCTTATTTAAAATTAAAAAAACAAATTCCAACCTCTTCCTCCTTTTGTTCTGCCAAAACCGGGCCAGGTTGTTGTTGACTAGTTGTTGGAGTCACATTCTCATCAGATGACTTTTGCATAGTTAAAGGGTAATTTTTCTCTGCGTTAGTTGGTAAAACAACACTTTTATTATTCGATCTTTGATATAATAAACGCTGATTTTCCATATTTTCCAAAATTCCAAAAACTTCTGTCGAAACCTTAAAAAATAAAAAAATTTTTGAATTTTAAAGAAAAATCTCTAAAAATACCAAATCCTTAACATTCGCAATAAATTCAGCTTCAGGCCCACTAGGCACCCAATCAGGATTTTGAGTAGCAAAATTTAAAAGAGACAATTCTACTTTACCACAAGGTGTTCTTCTTCGTCTTGTTGAAACTTTAAATTTTTAGAATTTTTTAATTTAAAGTTAAAAAATATTAAACCTTTATTCTTATTATTTTCATTATCATCAACACAAACAGATTGATTTAATGATACAAGTCGGGTATCTCCATCACGGGCAATATTCATTTGAGCAAGTGAACAAACATCACCGAGACCTACAAAAATTTGAATTTAATTTAAAATATGAAGAAAAACAAAAGGTTATCTGAATTTTTATAGGGTAAGAAAAATAAGTAGAAATTAAGGTTTTAAAAAAGCTATGGCTTAAAATATTTAAAAATTCAAATCTAAATCGAATTAGATCACGGCCTTTAATTTCAAAAAAAAACCAGGAAGCTCAAGAAATTTTGGCAAAGGAAAAATCCATGCCTTACAATTAGTCTGTTAGTTTTTGGAAATTTATCAATATTAAAACTCTGTAGAGAATAATAAAATTAAAAAACCTTCTAAAGTGACTGTATTTTCATGTAAAAACACAACAATTTCTGGTACTCGTTTCCATACACTGAAAAAATAAAAAATAATTTTGACAATTCTCCTTACAAAAAACTTACCAAAAATAAAGAATAAAAGGGGAAAGGAAAGGACTCAATAATTCTTCTATCAACAATTCTGTTTTCATTCGAAAAATTTGTACAAATTCTTTATGAATTTCAGTAGAATGCGCATTTGCAAGCCAAGAACGAGGCGCATAATGAATATTTGCAACAATCTTTTTTGAAAGAATTATTATTTAATTAAATTAACAAAATATAAAACTTGTTGCATTAAAAGATGTTGACAAAAAACCATATTTTCTTTTGGGATAAAAATACGAGAGATTAGGACAGCCCCACCGGTTATTGAAAGTATTGTTGTTACATGTTCAATCTAAATTTAAAAAAAATTTTTAAATAAAGAGGAAATTTTTGGAAATTTTTTTGGAGGATTGAATGGTAATATTGAATCTGACGGGCCCCATTATCTCCTCAAGTTCCTTCCTATATATTTGCAGAATGGTCAGACTTCTTACTTCCATGTCCTTCCTTCATTCCAAGGGGGAATAAAAATTAATTCTTTTGAGTTTGTAAGCAATATATAGAAGGGAAATTTGGTTGAAAGAAAGAAAAAAGACTGACCATTCTGCAAATATATAGGGAAAACCATGCGGAGGAAGAAATGGGGTCTGTCAGGTTCTGGAGGCCTGTCAAGTTAAGAAATGGAGCCTGTCAGGTTAAGAAAAACTTTTTAATTTTATTTTACACAAAAAGGATTCAAATTCAAAAAGATAACATTAAATCATAAACATTGGACAAAAAATAAATTTAAAAAATTAATAAAAAGAAAACCTTCAAAGTATCTTCATCAATAGCTGTTAAAGCACACAAAACAACAAAAAAAGAAGCAGCCACAAAAGCAATATTTCTCGCAATAATTTGGGTCAATGGAGAAATAAATTGGTCTGTATAACGAGCTGCAAATTCATAACTTTTATTTAAACGAGCATCCAATTCGTGATCCATTTCATTGAAATGACGAAGTTTTTCTCTTAAAATTACTTTTTAAAAATTTAAATAATTAAAAAAACCTTCCATAATTTGAATATTTTCTCATTCCAAAAACATTTGGATCTCGCTGATAATGTTCAGAATAAGAAAAGAATGAAAATAGTAATTGGTAAACAAATACAAATGGGAAGAATATTAAATTTGTAATAGACATTATTGTTAGAGTTCGTTGGAGTTGCCGAACTTAAATTAAAAAAAAAAGAATTAAAAAATATAACAATCAAAATGAATTGAAAAGAAATTCAAAAAGCATTAATTTTATTAATTTGACATAAAGAAAACATGAAAGGGGATCAAAGGGTATCGAACCCATAAGTAAAAATCTAAAATTATCCCACTACACCACAAAAATAAGGAAACGGTAAATTAACAGCAATTCTTTGCCTACAATAAAAAATAACTCCAAAAATAAATTTAAAAAACTTGCCAATCATTGGCAACTTTGCAGGATCCTTAAATTCATCTTTAAGTGCATAAGGGCCTTTCCAAGGACTCCAAGGTCCCCAAAATAAAAGCCATTCCAAATTAAATCGTAATCCATTTGATAAATAATGGACATGTCCAAAGAAGGGAAGGCGAATTCTTGGAGGGAGAATATTCTGAAAAAATTATTTTTAAATTAAAAATAAAAAATATTAATTTACATAATATACAAGCGCCACAAAATAATTTTTGTGTCGTAAAATCCGTTGGCAAACGTCCAAAGGAGTGATAGCCTCACGGTTGACGATTAAATGTAATCTTTTTTGGACACCACACAAACGTTCAACGACCTTAAAAAGAATTTAAAATGTTAACCTTAAAATTTTCATTGTTAAAGTAAAACTTGCGGACAATCCGCAAAAGTGTTACAAACTAATTTTGTCATCAAAATTGTCCCGAAATCATTAAAGAGTGGACTTTTCCCATAAAATTCGACGTAGAATAACAAAATTATTTTAAAACCTGTGCCCATGTCAAATTTTGCATTTCAGAATCAGCAATCTCCAATTGACTAATAAAAAATCGCCGAATCTCAGAAAACTGTACAAGTCGACAAAAAATTCGAAAAAGATGTGCCAACCAAAAAAGGGCAGCTAAAAACAGCGCCAGTGACATTAAAGGATTTATGCGGGCATAGCAACGGGGAATGAAAGCATTCTAAAAATAATTTTAAAATAAATTTGAAAAAATCCAAACGTGAATAGCCCGTTTAGCGGGAAGTGGCCGCCCATCCAAAGTTGTATTGCGGTTATAAAAAAGTACATCGTAGTCAACACAATTGACCAAAAATGTAGAAAAGAGAACAACAAATGCAAAACGTAAAAGAGAAAATAAAGAACGGAGGGCAATGCAAGTAAGGCCCCGTTGTTGGTAATACTCGTAGATGTAGGCAAAAAACTTGAAATTTTTTAAAAATCATTTCCAGGAATCGACCGAGTTAAAATGAGGCAAAATTTAGGACCAAGAAAATTATTTTCAACTAAAGGGCAGTCCCTGCTCAAGCTTATTTAACCTAATTTAAAAATTTTGAATTGTAAACATGCAAAAACCCTTGCAACCTGACAAAATGTTGAGAATACTACTTTTATCGGCAATCCCGGAGAATTGGGGGTCACGCGGAAAAAAAACAATAGAAAAATCATTTTTCTTATTTTTAAACTTTTTTCGAAGGGACCCCAATTCTCCGGGATTGCCCTTATATCTACAAGAACCTACCTTCCCCTCCCCAAAATATTTCATTTAAAAAATAAACCTGGTCAACGTCTTTAATATGATCCCATTCAGCAGCTGGATCACTAGAAGCTTGCAATTCTGCATCTCCTTTACCACTAAAAGAAACAGCAACACCGTGATGAATAGGAGGTGCTGATGATTCAAAATGTTGATGACATTCCTCCTCAACCTCCTCCTCCTCGATTAATTTTATATCGGTAACTCTGCCGAGTTCCATACTTTTTAGAGTTCCAGGCTCGTTTTCGTCCTCAACTTCCTCAATTACGTTATAATTGGCTCTTTTTAAAGAAGAAAACATTTTCGATTCTTTTACATAATTTTAAACCTAAAAATAAATTTTCTGCAAAAATTTTATGTTAAAAAGTTCTGAAAATAAAAAAAAGCGTTAGGAGGACCCAATAAATCAAATAAAAAAATCGACAATAAAAAAAGGAAAGGAAGAGGACTGTAAAGAAAGGAAACATTAAAATATGCGCGAGCAAAGATTGAACCAAAAATGTACAATCTAGGTGATGGTGGTGACTTTTTTTAGTTTATGAACAACTGCTAAAAGAGGGAGAGGATGTCTACACCAACAGCCAGACACGCTTAGGACGAATGTACATCATGTGTTTTTTGTTGGCCTAAAGTTAACCGATTCTTTTCCGGGAAACACATTGAGGCAAAATTTGTGAGAGAATACAAGTCTGACAAATAAAATGTTGTTCGTCTCCCAAGAGACAATTAATTTTTTGACTCTCTCATATTTTTCGCTGTCTGCCAATTCTAAACATTTTTTAGAGATAACGTTAAAGGTAAATTAGAGATAAAAATAATTTGGATAAACAAAATGCCAAATTTTATTAAATTTCAAAACTAAAGTTGAAGGCCCTTTTTATTTTTTAATTTTTATCATCTAGTGAAACGAAAAGGATAATGGAAAATTTTATAATTTACTTAAAAACGATTGCCGATTTATCTAGAAAAAAAATTTAATAATTTTTTCATATTTTGATAAAAATTGCAAAAAAACAGCGGTCAAGGATTTGCATGTGGGCTTTTAGATTTAAACAAATTCGTTTATTGACATAATAACCCACATGCCACGGACCTTCTGCGATATTCTTTCCATAAAAAATTTATTATATTTATGTGTGGAAATTATTTTAGGGAAAAGTGTCGATGTTCGCTTCCATGCTAGAGTAGAGCGAATATATTTATTCTCTCTCTCCTTTTTTATTCTCTTTACACACTCATACAGCATGTGTACAGATTTTTAAAAAGCGGAATTTGGAATGAGTAGCAAAATAAATTTAAAAACGGAATACGAAATGTAGAAACGGAAGAGTCAAAAAATGACAGACTCGCGAGTAATAAATGTTTTTGTTAGGTGCTTCCGAGCCGGCAAATACCGTAAACTACTACAAGGACTGACAACAATATTAGCAAGGACGAAAAGAAGCATTTCCAAACGTTTCGAATTAGCCTCTAATGTGAAAATTTTTGATTTTTTTGCCTATTGCCGAAGTTCGAGAGAATATGGCGAGGGCAAAATAGAGGAGGAAGGGAACTAGGAAGGGAATGGAGGAGTTACGAGATAAAAATGGATGTTGTTCTAGAAATTCGATTATGATCAAAATTGAAAAACTAGCAAAACTTTTATTACATCCTTTATTCACATTATATATTACAAACAAATACTATGTACATACAAAAGCAACAATATCACAAATGGCAAATAGAACAATATCACAAATGGCATTATTGGAGAAAAAGACATACAAGAGTAATATGGGGAAATATGTGAGTTTATGGGATATATCCTAGCAAATACAGCTGTTTAGAAGAGCATCTTCATCCATTGCGCTATTCTCTACCTCTGCCGTATTGGGGAATTCGGAATTCCTGTCGTCACTCGGCGCAGCTGGCGGCCAACATTATCACTCTGGATCGGGACGATCTCGTTGTTTCCAGTGAAGGTGATGCGACGGCTGTTCGGTTGAGGCGGTGTGGGACCATTACGAAGCACGGCCGGAGGCTGGAATTGCGCCAAAGCTGCCATATTCAAGATCTAGAGAAAAGAAAAAAAGTTAGAAATGAAGTTATTGTTATCAAATAAAGAAAAGACACCTGCTGCCGCATCACTTGCTGCACATCCACATTCAGCCTGACAGAAGGCGGATCATGAGCATCTTCTTGCGCCAAGGTAATCATTGCAGCAGCAATCGCCGGACGGGAAGTAGGACGGCCAATGACCAGGTCGACGCGGCCGGTCTAAAAACAAAGAAAAATCAAAATTAGCCTTAAATTCTGGCTTCTAGTCCCACCTCCTTCATGCTCTTTACCAACAGCGTTTGCGCTACGTCAGCTTGCGTCACACGAACCCCGCTCACGTAGACGATATGGTCGAAGACTTTGAGATGAGGCGAGCACATCGAGTCGGGTTTCACATCAGAGACGAACACTCGATTGTCCCTTGTTTTGATTGAGAGACCCAGACGAATTCCTGGCACTCGGTCGATGGTCACTAGCTGAATGGAAAAAAGATTAAAATTTTTACATGGTCTACTCCGTATCGTTTGCTTACCGAATAATGGTAGCCGTTTCGCCTGACGAGGGTATTCCTTATATCAGCAGGGAGATTGTCACTCGGATCGGTCCGAACTTCTGGTGGCAGCTCCTCGTTCGATCTTGGTCGCCGAACCTCAATCGTTGCCGTTGGATGTGCAATGCCCATGATCTGGTAGAAGTTCTTCAGGTTGCTGATCTTTCTTCCGTTGACTGACAGGATTGTGTCGCCGACCTGCAGATGTCCAGACGCAGGGGAGCCTTCTTGCACATCGGTGATGACGAGCCTTAAAGAAAAAAATTTATAGAGAAGATTAAAAATTAGCGGAGAATAGTAAAAGCGTTTACCCGTCATTTGGCCTGGCGCCAAGGGGCTCGAACTCCTCGAGCGGTATCTGAACCGTCATCGTTGGTGTTGACGCAGTAGCAGTAGACATTGCAGCAATCCCGACGAGAGCTTGACCGGCGCAGTAGAAGCAGGAGTAGTTGTTGTGAGTTGTGGAGAAAGTGATTCAGTCGAAAAAAGGCTGCTTTTTATAGCAATAAATTAGCTTGTAGCTTGAATAGTGGCAAACACTAACTATAAAAAGCAGCCTTTTTTCGACTGAATCACTTTCTCCACAACTCACAACAACTACTCCTGCTTCTACTGCGCCGGTCAAGCTCTCGTCGGGATTGCTGCAATGTCTACTGCTACTGCGTCAACACCAACGATGACGGTTCAGATACCGCTCGAGGAGTTCGAGCCCCTTGGCGCCAGGCCAAATGACGGGTAAACGCTTTTACTATTCTCCGCTAATTTTTAATCTTCTCTATAAATTTTTTTCTTTAAGGCTCGTCATCACCGATGTGCAAGAAGGCTCCCCTGCGTCTGGACATCTGCAGGTCGGCGACACAATCCTGTCAGTCAACGGAAGAAAGATCAGCAACCTGAAGAACTTCTACCAGATCATGGGCATTGCACATCCAACGGCAACGATTGAGGTTCGGCGACCAAGATCGAACGAGGAGCTGCCACCAGAAGTTCGGACCGATCCGAGTGACAATCTCCCTGCTGATATAAGGAATACCCTCGTCAGGCGAAACGGCTACCATTATTCGGTAAGCAAACGATACGGAGTAGACCATGTAAAAATTTTAATCTTTTTTCCATTCAGCTAGTGACCATCGACCGAGTGCCAGGAATTCGTCTGGGTCTCTCAATCAAAACAAGGGACAATCGAGTGTTCGTCTCTGATGTGAAACCCGACTCGATGTGCTCGCCTCATCTCAAAGTCTTCGACCATATCGTCTACGTGAGCGGGGTTCGTGTGACGCAAGCTGACGTAGCGCAAACGCTGTTGGTAAAGAGCATGAAGGAGGTGGGACTAGAAGCCAGAATTTAAGGCTAATTTTGATTTTTCTTTGTTTTTAGACCGGCCGCGTCGACCTGGTCATTGGCCGTCCTACTTCCCGTCCGGCGATTGCTGCTGCAATGATTACCTTGGCGCAAGAAGATGCTCATGATCCGCCTTCTGTCAGGCTGAATGTGGATGTGCAGCAAGTGATGCGGCAGCAGGTGTCTTTTCTTTATTTGATAACAATAACTTCATTTCTAACTTTTTTTCTTTTCTCTAGATCTTGAATATGGCAGCTTTGGCGCAATTCCAGCCTCCGGCCGTGCTTCGTAATGGTCCCACACCGCCTCAACCGAACAGCCGTCGCATCACCTTCACTGGAAACAACGAGATCGTCCCGATCCAGAGTGATAATGTTGGCCGCCAGCTGCGCCGAGTGACGACAGGAATTCCGAATTCCCCAATACGGCAGAGGTAGAGAATAGCGCAATGGATGAAGATGCTCTTCTAAACAGCTGTATTTGCTAGGATATATCCCATAAACTCACATATTTCCCCATATTACTCTTGTATGTCTTTTTCTCCAATAATGCCATTTGTGATATTGTTCTATTTGCCATTTGTGATATTGTTGCTTTTGTATGTACATAGTATTTGTTTGTAATGTATAATGTTAATAAAAAATGAATAAAAGTTTTGCTAGTGTTTTTATTTTGATCATACTCGAATTTCTATAACAACCTCCTTCACTTTTGCGTCGATTTTTGCTCTAGGTCGTATTCTCTTATAGATCAGAAATAGGAAAATTTATAAAAAATTTTGATTTTCTAAACTAAACATATCCAAATTCTTAGTGCATCTGACAAAATTTTTGGATTCTCACATCACAAGTTCGATTCGAAAATTTTAATTCGGCGACAAAATTTCCATATTTCGCCTTAACTTCATCCACTGTCAAATGAATATTTTTATTCTGATTTTTGTTCTAAGTTATGTATTTAAAATTAAGGAATTGAAAGCATATTTGTTTCAATGGTTAAGCAAAAATTAAGGAAATTTTGTCACCAAGTCCCAAAATTTAGGAGGTTTTTAAGCAAACTCGTTATTTTTTGAAAAAAAGTACTTATTGTTTAAAAAAAGTTGCAAAAAAGCGGAGGTCAAGGACTTGCAAGTGGGATTTTTTTTCAAAACACAAAACCCAGCACGTTTATTTATTTTATTGAGAACCCACTCTGCCACGGACCTTCCGCAAATTTAATCCTTTTATTTTTTACTTATATTTAAGCAGGGAAATAATTTCAAAGAAAAGTGTCGATGTTTATTTTAATGTTAGAAATTGTGGTGGATCTCTTTTTCTTTTTTCTCTCTTCATAATAGGATGTATGAACAAAGGACTTACAAAGGTTTTAAGCAGTTAAGATAGTTACAAAGAGATCTAAGTTCCTCTCCCTATTTTCCTTCTAATAGTCTTATTAAATTATGTAGTATTGGAAAGGCATTTACAAGGGGGATTATTAAAACGTGATAGAGCAACATAACAAATTTGTTCCTCTTGTCTCTACGTTTATCTTCTTTTAAGAACACTCAAATACCTTCTAAAAAATTAAAAAAAATTCAAAATTTAGTAATTCCCTAAAATATAACAATTATTTTCTCCTTACTTTTTATCCTTTAATTCTAAAAATATTTTCTTCTTCAAAATTTTCTTCAATTTTTTCTTCTTTCATCTTTTTAACAACAAGTAAAAACATTTTCAAGTCCAGCTTCATTTAAACAATTTAAAAGAAATTACCGTTAAAAACTAAAATGACCCTTCTAATAAATAACACTTTAAATGTACTAGAGTGAGAGGTGAAAAAAAATCTTCAAAACAATTTACTTTTATCGCTCTTTTCTTTACTGCCATATTTGTTCGATATTTTATGATTTTTTTCAATTTTTATTGAAGTAAATATCAGACTTAAATCGATTAGAATAAGGTTGTCGGTTCCGGGCATTCGAACACGAAAATCCCCGGGTATCCGGAAATTTCCAGCTCGGTTATCTGTTCCGGTTCCGAATACCCAAAGATTTCCCAGGAACCGCCAACCTTAACTTAAACTTATGTTTGTGTAATAGAACAATGACAAGATTACAGATTCTTTAAATGTTAAAATAAAAAAAGACAATTAAATTTATTTTATTTTTTTTTATAAAATAATATTTATTTAATAAATTATTTCAAAATTAGCCATTTTATTTTTATTAAAAAAATATAAAAGTGCAAAATAAAAAAATCAAAGGAAAATGCCGTTGTTATTTATTAAAAAATAAAAGGACAAAAAATTTATCAAAGGAAAAACGCCGGATATTTTTTGTCTTTACACATCTAAAGTAAAAAGGGCAGGGAAATTAAGAATTATTTGCCCTTTCTTTATTTTTTAAATGCCAAAATTTTTAAATGTAAATATGTTTGGGGACTATAAAAATAAGTGGAAAATAATAATAAATACAACCAATTTAATATAATTTTTAAATATATTTAATTTAAAAATTTGAATTTTATTTTAATTGTTTTTGTTTGTTTTATAGAGAAATCTTTAAAAAATGATTAATTTAAAATTAAAATTATTTTTAATAATTTTAATTGGCTTGATGTCAGGTATTTTTTAATTAATATTGAGAGAGAGGTAATCAAAGTTTGGAACTCGAGCAGGCATTTTAAGAATAAAAATTCCTAATCAAAGTTATTGTTAAGAGCTTTTTCGCCCATCACGTATAGGAAGGGGCTTTAATGACTAAGAGCTATTGGGGCCTTGCTTTCATTCTTTCTATTAAATGAGCTCTCACATACTATGTAGTAAACGTTTTAAATGTTGCCCAGTAGGATTGTTCCCCGAGGAGAGGGCACAGGGATAAATCTTCGGGGAAGGAGCCACGGGGGGGGAGGCGGGGAATTTTCAAAAAATCTCTCAAATTTCACGACTTTCGGGGCGGGGAACAACCCTATTGACCAGTTAGATGTCTCCTTCTCTTCTTTAAAATTTTCAATTTAAAAGGAATTAATTCAACAAAAAATACTAAACCAATTATACCGAGCGGGAATGATTGGAAAATATTGGAAGGGGAAAAGTTTGGAGAAGAAGAAGAAATTAATTCTGATGAGACTTCGTCTTCTTCTAATGAAATGCCCTCCCCTCTCGAGGATGTTTTCGTTGAAGAATCCTCCCCAAATTGGACAACTTCTGTCAAAACATTGTCAAATTCTGTTTGCCAAACAGTTGGAAATTTTAAAGAAAAAATAATTACAAAATGCCAAAATATTCCAATTAATTTGAAAAAATCTGTTACTTGTGTTTTCGTCCTTATTTTGGCCTGTCAAGTTTCTAATGTTTATTTGACTCCAAAAAATCCTCAAATAGAGCCTATAAATTTAGAATTAAAATGTAAAGTTGGAAATGATGGATATGAATGTACTGGAAATAAAGAAATATTTAATGATTACGATATATCTCTTAAAAATTACCAAGGAAAATTAACAAAAGAGGGAG